AAGCTGCTTTGAAGTAGCTGGAACTTGATTTTTTTAAAACAAGAAAACAGAAGGAAAATGAAGAGGCGGGGCCAGAATGATGGGTTTAGATCGGATCTTGAGAATAAATTCTTCAGCCCGAGGGTGGCCAGACTCTGGAACAGATTGCCCAGAGAGGCTGGGGCTGCCCCCTCCCTGGAGATGTCCAAGGCCAGATTGGATGAACCTGGAGCAACCTGGGCTGGTTAAGGGCGTCCCTGCCCATGGCAGCGGGTGGATTAGATCATCTCTGAGGTCCCTTCTGACACAACACATTCTAGGATTCGTTTGGGCTCGCAATGGTGCCAAGAGAATGACTCTGGGGCTAGGAGTGAAGAGCAAGGGCAGCCAGGCTCTGTGGAGCCGCTTTCTGAAGCTGTCATGCCATGAAAAAACCCCAGACATTCTGGTTAAACAGAGGATTCGTAGTTTCTGTGAGGTTTTTTGAGCTATCAAGAATCAAGCCCGCACCACTCATGCAGCAAGTTATTTGTCACAAGTAAAAATTGTCGGGATTTTTTTCCTACATCACCTTGCAGGCTCCATGCTCATCTTAAGGCTTTTCTGTCAATCCCCTGCAGGCAGCGAAATTAAAACAAATTACAGTAAGAGCTGAAACACCTGATTTGCAGTGTCTGGACAGGTCAGTGGGGGAGGTTTGCATCTTGCTCTGGCAGTTTGGCTTATCGTCGGTCCTATCTGTTGAAGGGCTTTTGGTTGATATTTTGCAGAAGACTCTGTTGACTGTGTGTTATTGACATATTCTTAGCTTAAAACCATTATCATGTTAAAGCCCTGGATTTGGAAACTAATTACAAGACTTTAATAGCTAAGCCCTAAGAGCTAAGTCATGCAAATATTGCTATCTGTAAAGCTGAATATACAAAAACTGTTTGAACTGCTGACTTAGGAACTGGGGTCTAAAAGCAAGGTGGCAATAAATCTGAGCACAATCCTCCGCAATTGTTTTCTAATGTGTCCGTGAAATTAATGGCACAGTTGTTACGAAAGTCGTATCGGGGAACGTGGCTATTTTTTTTTCCCCGAGTAGGTTAATTGTCACTAATGTAATTAGTTTTGTACTGATTTTTATTTTAATCAAACATCGCATGAAGCAATTTAGCTCAGAACAAATAGCTTATTACAGAAATGTTTGTGGCAGTGAGAGGAAAAAGCAGCGATGTTTAAATTATACACTTATATTGAGTTACTTTATTCATTAAAATGAACAATTATGTTGGGTCTTATGAGACAGACTAAGCATTTCTTGTTAACGTTTGTTCTGTAGTGAGCATAATGAGAATTTATATTGGAAATGGATCCCATCCCTCTAGCTCAAGGCATTTATGAACTGGGCGATACGTAGGAGTTGGAAGAGAGTGAGGGGAAAAAAAGAGTGTGCCATTTCTATATATGACTGGAATAGAAGGTTCCACAGAAAAAAGCAACTTTTATATTAATTGCAAGAGCACTTTCTCATGATTTACAAAATTGTTTATTTAGGGGTTTCTAGATTATTTTTTTAATGCTGTAAGAGTTTATTATGTTTGCTTATAGAAATGTAGGATTTGTCAGTCCATAGCATTCTTCCCTCAAGAATCTCAGTTTTTATAGGTCTTTATTATTGATATAATTGACAGTATCTCCAGCTTATAGGTGGAGAAAATGAAAGGAAAGAAAAAATATATGAATTGCCTGGGCCAAGAGGCCTGAGGTCAGGGTCAGCAAAAGAGAATGAACCTCCCAGGTTGCGGATCTGCTGTTCCTCTAGTTTGTCATCTGTGTATTTAATAACTGTGGTTTAGTTATGAATCTTGGCAGGCAAGGTCGATTGTGCGTTGAAACAACTGTCTTGGAAATCATCATCCTCAGAACCATTTCTACTTCTGTCCTCTAAAAATGGAATTAGAGTGGTTGACCAAAGCAGTGCTGTGGTTCCTCCCCTGAAAGAAGGGCTCTGTCCTGGTTTTTTTGAAGTCCTCTTGCAGTAGTTGTGGACAACTTTGCTGTTTTATCCGGACTTTATGATCCTGAAACTCTGAATTCAGAATCCTTAAGCAAGCAGCTTCTAGTTCATAGTGACTAAAAGTGTTGAGGAAAAAAAGAAAAAAAAAATCATTGAATATAAGCAGGTTTAGATTTAAGTAAATGCAAAAAAACCGGCTGAACATAGCAATTACTTGCCACAATAGAAGTCTTTTTTAGATTCAGGTTTTCAAAAGGTAAATTATGTCAAGGAAACTGCAGTAAAAGCTGGAAGAAGGAGGGAGGGGAAGAGGGCAACAGGAAAAAAAAAGTGCATCAGGTACAATTACTAGATCCTAAAGCAGCCAAATAGCCAGATGAACACTGTGTTGCTTTTGTTTGCATGTCTAAAAGAGTTATGAAATGATAACTTATTTCAAAGGTGGGGGGGAAAGTATTTCAAAAATAATCTTTTCTGAGTGGGAAAAGTGTTTCTAGGCTGACTCAGATTTTCATCTCCCAACGCCAGGCTGTGGTGCCAGGAGCTTTACCTGACAGGAGGTTTCTGTCTTTAATTTTCGCACCAGAAGCAGCAGAACGCCGCAAATCTTTGAGGCCACTGATGCAGAGTTATCATGCCGTTTTCCCAGGAGACCAGGAAAAGGACTTTCCATAATTTTTGCCTGATCTTCTATTTATCTCTTCACACAGAGTATCTGCACGGAATAAAGTACCTTCAGGCTGTCCCAGCTCTCCAGCACTGCCATGGAATACGTTTGAGAATATGGAAATTCTCATCCTCCTGTAGTCATAAGGAGGGGTGGGGATATGATAACACATTAATAATTCTGTGGTTCTGTGAGATATTAACATGCAGAAAATCGGTGAAAAATCCTTTCATCACTGGGTTAAAATCCATGCAGTTAGGATGCCTTTCTCCTTTCAATTCATGTGGTAAAAAGGGCATTGAGTAACTTCTGTGTTTAGTAGTTATGACAGAAAGCGGAGGCTCCAGACTGGGTCGATATTCTAGCTGCACAAACCCAGGTAAGCCCGAGCTACCCTGTCTCAGCCAGCCTTTAACAGGGCAAGATACAAATCAGCAATTAAGGGGAGTAAAAAAAGAGGCAAACTGTCCATCAGTTGGTTTCTTAAGGAATTGTCTTGAGATTTTCACACCTCTTTTATGGGTCCCCGGTTCTCTTCACTCGCCACCCCTTCGGTTCTCTTCACTCGCCACCCCTTCGGTTCTCTTCCCCACTAACAACATTTATCGTGCCACTGCAGAGTGAGTAAGTTACACGCACACGTGACAATTTACTCCAGCTCTCTCTGAGGCACGCACCCAGGAACGCAGCTCCAGGTTTGCAAAGGGCTTGCTCGCCTTCGGTTGGAGCAGTGACGGGATCGGGTTCAGAAACGGCTTCTTGTGCATGCTTTTTCCAGTAAGCTGCCGTTTACTGGTAATTAATTTACCATGCAACTAAGCAAGCCTTTGTGTTCTCACGGATCATCAATATTCCATCGGCTTCTGTAAGCTACGTACCTTCAGCTCAGCGCAGTGTGAACAAAGAGTTCATGGATCTTTTTCCATTTGATTTTTTTTTTTCAGAATAAGTTGTGAGTATTAAAGGTTAATGAAGTTGCTCGAGCAGTGGCAGACCTCTAGAATATCTGTTACTGAGGGATTATTTTTATGACAGTGACAGCAGAGACTCTCGGTAGTATGGTATTTGAGCAGTGTGTGATTTTAGGTTGTGGTGGGTTGTTTTTTTTTTTCTTCAAATGTATGAAATGAAGATGATACAGGGTCTATTTTGAATTAAATTATGAAAGTGCAACTTAATCCTCCAATTTAGGACTTGCACACCCCAGCTTCCTGGATACATTAATAATCAAGGCAGCTGATTCAAGAAACTCAGCTTCGAAATTTTTACTTGTACAGCAAATAGCACAGACTGTAAGCATTTAACATTTAACCTAAAAAAAAAGCTGAAATTTTGGTTTTAATAACAATTATTCACACCTTTCCCAGGAGATCAGGTGTTACCTTTGGAAAAAACACACACACAGAGCAGCTGTTGGAGCCACTGAAACTTTGCTGGGCAGCTGCATTGGTAACTGGTGCAATTTACACACGCTGGGAATGTCAGAACCTTCCCAGTGGTTCCAGTCTGGACCATTTCAGGGGAGTCCAATGCTAAACCTCCCTTGTTCTTTGTTAGTGGCTTTAGTCTGGAATTTTTGGAAATGATTTGCCACGTCTTGTTTTCTGCAGTGCTTGGGAGCCTTTGTGCACATAGTTTGGAGTTCAGGATTCTTGAGACTGCAGAACAAGTGAGATTTTGCATTTATTTAATAGAACCATTTATAATTTCTGTTCCCAGGATATTTCAACACCACTATGTGCCTTTGAAATGAAGAATTAACTATTTAATTTTTTCATTGATGACTATTTCCTTTATCCTTCATATTTCATACATGGCTCATATTGCAGATCTCACAACGCTCTCACTGATGCCATGCCCTCGTTTACACATTTCCACTGGATTTCAAATACGAACCTGGTTCCCTCCCAGACATCTCTTGTTCTGGTCTCGGTAGGAAGCCCCAAGCTCTAGATGCACGAAAAGCAGTTTTGTGAATGCAGCTGCAGCTTCCGTCAAGCCACTGCAGCATTCTCACTAATTTTCATGTAACGAGGAAGAGGTTTACACTCTACTGTTTTATCTGATGTCATGTGTCATTCCACCGCAATTAGCTACTAATAAAAATGAAGAATGAAGGCAGTAAATACACTAGAGTCCCATGCGAAGACATGAGTGCGTGTGGTTCTTGGTGCTGTCCCAGGAGCTGACCACGTGCAATGTTTATCCGTTTGGTTTCTCTCTGTTGTAGCTTCCACCCTTTGGTCCTTGCCGCTTCTTTTCCCCACCTCTTGTCTGACAGCAACGTCTAGATAAGCCAACAGCAACAGCTAAATAAGCCGACCTCTCTCTGCTTCACGTGTCTTGCAGATCGATGAGATGCAGTGGGGCAAAGGAGTGCGGGAGGTCCCGTCCTCGGTCTGCAGCCTGCCTTGCAAGCCGGGAGAGAGGAAGAAGATGGTGAAGGGGATGCCGTGCTGCTGGCACTGCGAGCTCTGTGACGGCTACCAGTACCAGGCCGACGAGGTGACCTGCCTGCTCTGCTCCTACAACGAGCGGCCCAACGAGAACCGGACAGGCTGCCGCTCCATACCCATCGTCAAGCTGGAGTGGCACTCGCCCTGGGCCGTCATCCCCGTCTTCTTGGCCATGCTGGGGATTATCGCCACCATCTTCGTCATGGCGACGTTCATCCGGTACAACGACACTCCCATCGTCCGGGCATCCGGGAGGGAGCTCAGCTACGTCCTGCTGACAGGGATATTTCTGTGCTACATCATCACGTTCCTGATGATCGCCAAGCCAGACGTCACGGTGTGCTCCTTCCGGCGGATCTTCCTGGGCCTGGGCATGTGCATCAGCTACGCAGCCCTGTTGACCAAAACAAACCGCATCTACCGCATCTTCGAACAGGGCAAAAAGTCAGTGACTGCACCTCGACTCATAAGCCCCACGTCGCAGCTGGCGATCACGTCGAGTTTGATATCTGTCCAGCTCCTAGGTGTCTTTATTTGGTTTGCGGTTGACCCACCAAATATCATCATAGATTATGATGAACAGAAAACTATGAACCCCGACCAAGCCAGAGGAGTTCTCAAATGTGACATTACGGATCTACAAATCATTTGCTCCTTGGGTTATAGCATTCTTCTAATGGTTACGTGTACTGTGTACGCCATCAAGACTCGGGGTGTCCCAGAGAATTTTAATGAAGCTAAACCCATTGGATTCACTATGTACACTACCTGTATAGTATGGCTTGCCTTCATTCCAATATTTTTTGGCACTGCCCAGTCAGCCGAAAAGGTAGGTGAAAATGAGCGCGTGCGCCTGATATACCAGGATTCGTTGCAGTTATAAACCACATACTGATGTTCAGCTTTACATAGATTTTTAAAGGAGCCATCCAGTTAGCTCGTTACTGAGACACGTGGGATATATACAGCACTATTTTTCCTTCTCATTTAGCTGGTGGGCTGTTCATTTGACAAACTGGCGAACGATCAATAGCAATCATATTAGCCGTTAGTTTTATTGTTGCATCCATTTCAATTGTATCTTTTCAGTAGAATAAGTGGGAATTAGCTGTCATATTGTCCAAAAAGAGGCATCTCTTAACTAAATAATTTTGAATACAAGATGTAAGCAAAAAAAACCCCAAACTCGCTCCTGTCCCCAGCTTGGGGAAATATGCCCTGGCCATCCGAGCAGATGTGGAAAGATGCAGACCTTGGTCAAGTTTGGGCTTTGCTGCTGGCAGAAATTGGGTTTAAAGTGTTGCATCAGCCCTGCTGGGACCAGCAGTGAGCTGGGACCTTGACCCAGCATGTTGCAGCTGATGCTGTGATGGTTCAGGTACAAACAGTAACCGCCTGTCTTTTGTCCCGCACAAAGGGACAAGGAGAATGTCACTGCCTTCTTCTCATTGTAGTTAGTGGTGGGGATGGTGGCCTTGGACAAAGCTATAATAACAGAGGACAATGTGCTTCATTTTTTCAGAATACTGTCTGAAGGTCTGCTGGGAAGAAAAATACCTTTTCAGCTTTGCTCTTCAAGTATTAAAAAAGGGAAAACCTTAGCTGCTCTGTGTGCTTTGAGTAAACAGTGTTCAGGAGGTGAAAAATCAATGTCCTGTTATCATGCGTAGGGCTGAATCGAACTGGGAGTGAGCGAGCACTGCAATCCGGGTCACCTCCCGGGGCGCACACCCCTTCTGTGCCTTGCTGCCCCAGCAGCTGCAGCCAGTGCTCGGTGATAGAGGTCTGGCTGTCCTTCTCTCTGGGTCTTGTTTGGAGATATCTGTAATTTCAGAGTCTTCTGGCAAAAGACATGTCTCATTTTTCACCAGGGATATATAATTTCCAAACTTGCAGCTGTCAAACTTCGGGGTTACTGAAGTAAAACCGCAGGGCGCAGCGGTGTGGTTCGGCCAGGTCTGTGCCCCGGCTGCAGCTCCCTTCCACCAGGAGGTGCCTGCACCAGAGCTTTATTCCTTTTGCAGCTCGGGAGGTGGGCTGCACGGAGGTTTGCAACTGGTTTGGCCTCAGTTTGCCCAGTGGAAGAGGGACTTGCTCTGGAGGACGCAGAGGTGTTAGAGGTTTCCAGCTATCACCTCACCTCAGCACTGGGCTTTACGGGCAGCCGTTGCATCCCTGAAGGTAATTAATTTCAAAGGGAAAGCAGGTCTGCCAAGCCTTACGGATGCTTCAGATGCCCCTGTTCTCCCTGTCGAGGGAGAGATAAGAAACAGCAGCAGCGGCTTTAAGCACAGCTGGGCCAACTTGTCGCTTTGGTGGGACGCGGGGAGCGCGACGCAGCTTTTGTGGCTTTGTGCCCCTGCCTGGCGGTGCTGTAGCCCGGCAGGTGAGAGCCATGAAGGGCTTTTATAGTGTTGTCTGCAAAGATTTAACCAGGTGATGGAAAGACCCGAAGAATTTCAAAGGCTGCTGCCAGCATTCCGAATCCTTTAGTAGCAAAAGCATTCAGCTTCCATGTAGTCATGGAGCTGAATTACCCTGTACTTCTTTGAAAAGTAAGAAAGATTCTTGTACAAATTAGCGCAGGACAGTGGAAGAAACGATGGTGAGCTCCATTTCACACGGAGGAGAGCACTGGGTGAAGGAAGGAGCCTTTTGCTTTTCTGGGCTCCAGTCTGGAGCATCATCCCCTGTGGATCGGTAGCGTTGCTGTTTTGCTTTCTTTTCTGTCTCCCTCCCTCTTTTTTTTTTTCTTTTCTTTTCTTTTCTTTTCTTTTCTTTTTTTTTTTTTGAGTAGGGGAGAGGGGATTGTACTTTTTGGTGATTGCTAGTGATTTCCTGTCAGGTATTTTCTCCGGAAAATATCATGCTTAAGCTTAGCCACACAGGTCTTTGCTGAAATGGAAATTGCCCCTGCTGAAAAATCTCATGCAATGCAATCTTTTAAACTGAGAAATGGTGTTATATATAATGTTGTGATTTTCATCATATGGATTTATTTTTTTTTATCGATAAATACAAGTATAATGCTGTTTGGTAGAAAGCATATAGAAAATACCTGCCTTGTTCATTGTAGAAGGTAACAGCAACAAAATGCTGTTTGGTAGAAAGCATATAGAAAATATCTGCCTCGTTCAGTGTAGAAGGTAACAGCAACACCAGCGAAAAAAAAGCCAACTAGAGGCATGCTTCAAGTAATTCATAAAAGGCAAATAATTCAAGCAGTAGCATTTGCAGCAGATGGGGGAGAGGCAGTGTGGTTTGAGGATGGCCAGATCTCGAGAGTTTGTGCTTACACGATGGAGATAATACATCGGATGTATGGGAGGCGACACCTGGAAAAAGCAGATTGCTGACCTTTTCGCAGCGTGCATTTACTCAGCCAGCTCGCTACCTACAAATTTGCAAAGCACATGGCCGTTATAACTTACAGGCTTCGTTTGGCGATGCGGCGTGTCATGTCCTGGTGGGGTGGAATATGGGTGTCCCACCCCATTTCACCTTGCTTTGAGTTTCTCCAGCATTCGTGCCATGGTCACGCCACCATTGCTCCCCGCCTGGGCATCGCTGCTGTTGTTAGGTTCTTGGGGGACGTGTATTTGGGGTGAGGTGTCCTTTTGTGTTTTCCTGTAGCTACCAGTGTATATTCCAGAATGCTGATGTAACCTTTGAGGAGCAGGACACAGCGCTGGGGACTGGAATCGAGCCATGCCTTGGCTCAGAAAGATCCTTCTTTTCATACGTATTTGGTAGAAAGACACTAAATACAGAGGAGTCCCTTGCAGAGCAGAGAGGGTCACTCACTGCTCGACACTGAGCAGCCCCTAAGGACCAAATCCATCAGCAGCTGAAGGGTCAGGGGCTTTGGGGGGGTTAGGACAGAGGACAGAGCCCACCCCCTCCTGCTGCCCTTGGTGTCGCTCGGGTTGTTAACCCAAACACTCCAAGAGCCACCGTAGGGATGAAGCACAGCTTCCGCGCTCCTGGTGTAATTGTTTTTGACAACCAAACCATTTTAAATTCTCCGCAGACATGTGGGTATCTTATCAGAAACAAAGTGGCCTCAAAGAGCTGTTAAACCAATTACAGGAGTCGTAGCTCCGCGGCGGAGTCAATAGCAAGTGGCACTTGAAAAGAGCACGGATCGCTCGGTAAGGTCAGCCAGAGCGCGGCGAAATCGATAACCAGAGTCAGAATTTTTGGAATGCAAAAGCGGGCAGCTGGGAAGGGCCACGGGTGCTGCTCATCCGCTTCTGCTTTACCTGTGTCTGATTTTAACTCCTTTCCAGAGGCAAGGCACTGTGCTGACGGGATCACTGATGGGGGTCAGCGGTTTAAGGCTGTCCTGGTGCGCTGCACGGAAAGCTGAGCCATGCTCCGCTTCTTGAAGTCACCTGTTTTCATTTCTTGGGGTTTTTTTAGTTTTTATTATTTTTTTTTTCCTTTTATAGATACTGTAATAGAGCAGCAGCATAGCAGAGCACGTGATCTGCTCTAACACAACTTGGAAACATCATAGGTGGCAGTAATAGTTTGCTTTTTTTATTATTAGTCTCTCTCGTAATGTAAATATTTTTTAAAATTTATAGCGTTGTGGCTTCCCAGAGGCAATACTTTCATGGTAAAAGCAAAGTGAAGGGGGGGGAAAAACCCATCTGCAGTTAAATCAATGTGTTATGCAGAGTTCTTAAAACACTGGCTTGCTTTTTTGTGCACATAGAAGTCTATTTGTCATTAGGCAAAACAATACTTTTCAACATTTCTTATTATTATTCGGAGGCAAGTGGCAGCGATCTCTGCGTGGTCTCATGGCAAAGCCTAGAGAAGGCAGCAGTGTTCCCAGAGGTGCTTCATCCCTCTCCTCCTCCCCGTTTGCAGGAGAATCTACTGGGAAGGCGACCAAGATAAAAAGCGCATCCCGAATTGCAAAGCCAGCTTTTGGAAATAATGTCTTTTAGGAAAGATTTGCCAAGGAAGGATGCAGTAGGAGGCTGGAGATGCTGAGCGTGGGGGTGTTGGTGGTGGCGTGCGGAGCCCAGCAGGGCGGCAGGAATTGCCTCCGGGTTTGTGTGGAGTGGTCTCGGTTAGGGTGGGGACCCTCTTGCTGCTCTATTCTCCCTCTCTTCTAAACTTCCGACCAGCGCTTAGCTCTAATTATGAAGGACTATGGCATCACAAATTATTTTCTTCTCCTATGGTTAATTATACATTACCATATATCTATGTTAATAATGCAATGTAAGCGACGGTTTCTGTAGCTCTGTTGCACAGGAATAGATAGACTGTTGCTTAAACTGAATTTCCTCGTCGGTCCATGTGGACACGTGGCTTCCCAGGAGCCTGCTCCTCGGGGTTTGAGGGAGAGGAGTTTGGAAACTCGCCAGAGCTGTAACCATCAGGTTAAAAGAAATCATCATCTCTGCAGGTCTGAAGTCCGTATCTGTGCCCCTCAACTGCGCACAAATGTAGTTGTGTGTGTTGAATATTCCCCTAAGATCTCATTTGCTCAGACTGCGCCCTTGAACCAATACAGGGGGATATGTTATCGTTACGTTTTTATGTTTTGCAGAGATTTTATTGCCTTGTAGCTGTGATTACTTTTATTTAGTAATTGCCAAGATTAAAATAATACATTTCTGGGTATGTCTACAAGCTAGTAATAACTGTCGACATCCTGCTTAATATATCCTCCTAATTGGATTTTTTTTTTTTCTTGAATTATTTTCAGGACGTTTTTCAAGTTAAAAAAAAAAAAATAGAATCGTGATGCTGAGTGAGTGATGGAGATTTCTCAGCCGATGTGGTCTTCCTGCTTGGGAGCTGTACTCA